GAGGCAGGCTCTCCAACTCAGAGACTTCAGGTAGCATGGAGAGCACTGAAAATCCATGGTGTAGACTATTTGAAAACATTATGAAGATAGACACATTTGGATCTTCTAACATCTTGTGAAAAGCAAGAAATTTAGTGACTTGGAAGGCATAGAGCTACCTCTGAGTGGGGCCAGGAACAGGAAAGGGCCCTTCAACAATCCAGGCTGCTGTACAAGATGCTCTGCCCCTTGGGCCATATGATACAGCAGAATTGATGGTGCTTGAGGGATCAGTGGCAGATAAAGATGCTTTTTGGAGTCTCTGGCAGGCCCCCATAGGGGAATCACAGCAGAGGCCACTGGGATTTTGGAGTAAGGCTTTGCCTTCATCTGCAGACTTTTCTCCTTTTGAGAGACATCTCTTAACCTGCTATTGGGCCTTAGTGGAAACTGAATGTTTGACAATGGGCCACCAAGTCACCATGTGACCAGAGCTGCCCATCATGAGTTGGGTGTTATCTGACCCCCCAAGCCATATAGTAGGACATGCACAGCAACAATCCATTATCAAATGGAAGTGGTATATATGTGATTGGGCCCAAGCAGGCCTGGAGGGCACAAGCAAGTTACATGAAGAAGTTGCCCAAATGCCTATGGTTCCTACTCCTGTTATGATGCCCCCTGTTCGCAAGTATGCACCTATTGTTTCATGGGCTGTGCCCTACAATTGGTTGACTAAGGAAGAGAAGACTAGGGCTTGGTTTACAGATGGTTCTGCACACTATGCAGGCACTACTCAGAAGTGGACAGCTACGGCATTACAGCCAATTTCTGGAACAACCCTGAAGGACACTGGGGAAGGAAAGTCTTCACAGTGGGCAGAACTTCGGGCAGTGCACATGGTCATGCATTTTGCTTGGAAGGAGAAATGGCCAGAGGTGCGATTATATACTGTAGCCAATGGTTTGTCTGGATGGTCAGGGACTTGGAAGAAGCATGATTGGAAAATTGGTGAGAAAGACATTTGGGGAAGAAGTATGTGGATAGATCTCTCCAAATGGGCAAAAGATGTGAACATACTTGTGTCTCATGTAAATGCTCATCAAAAAGTGACTTCAGCAGATGAGTTCAATAATCAAGTAGATCGGATGACCCACGCTGTGGACTGTCAGCCTCTTTCTTCAGCTATCCCTGTCATTGCTCAATGGGCCCAAGAACAAAGTGACCATTGTGGCAGAGATGGAGCTTATGCATGGGCTCGACAGCGTGAACTCCCACTCACGAAAGCTGACCTAGCTATAGCTACTGCTGCGTGCCAGAACTGCCAACAGCAGAGACCAACATTGAGCCCCCTGTATGGCACTGTTCACCATGTCAACCAGCCTGCAACCTGGTGGCAGGTTGACTACACTGGACCACTTCCATCTTGGAGAGGACAGCATTTTGTCCTTAAGGGAATAGACACTTATTCTGGTTATGGATTTGCCTTTCCTGCACGTAATGCTTCTGCCAAAACTACTATCCAGGGACTTACGGAATGCCTTATCCACCATCATGGTATTCCGCACAGCATTGCTTCTGACCAGGGAACTCACTTCACAGCCAAAGAAGTGTGACAGTG